CTCGTGTCCCGGCCGTGCCCGCGGGGATCTTTGTTGTGCTGCGCCGCTGCTCCCGGGCTCGGGGAGCGGGGACGTGCTTCGGCGGAGCGGGGGAGCTACAAGTAGCGAAGGCACGTTAGGAGCGCGCTGCTCGTCTGCTGTGTCCGAGCGCTGAACAGGTTGAGGCTGGAGGAAAATGCACCCGCTAGAAATGCGCGTCTCCGAATCTGATGGCTTGGGTTTGTTTTGATTAGGTCCGTGGTCAAAGGCTTTGAAGTAACCATGGATAAAAGAGGAGGCATAACAGAAACTGAAAATGGTGATGCTTTCCTGGAGCTGAACAGAATTACAACAAAATACCCACATCGTTACACGAAGGTTAGCTCTCTCCCCTTTCCTCTGCAAGTTGTGCGTGGAGTTGTTGGTTGTAGCTGCAGAGTGGGAAGCGGATGCTTCTGTGAGAGGTGAAGGCTGAAAAGTCTCCTTCCTGGATTAGGATTTGCAAGATGCTATAAAATGAGCAACTTGGTAAAAGTGATGTAGCTGTGCAATCCTTGTACAGCTTGCTATACTTTTGATTGCCACTGCCTTATTTTAATATCTGAACACCTTGCCGCATGCGCTGGAGTGATTATGGTAGAGACTGAAGTATGTTGTTCTACCAGCTTTCTCAAGCGCTTGCATTGCATAGTTCTAGTTCTGCTTTAGCAATGTGCCCTTAAGAAGTTGACCAAAATGCTTCCTTGTGGTAGATGCCACTTTCTTGGAAAATGCAGCACACCAGATCTTATCAGGTGCTTTTTTAGGTGTTTATTAAGATGCCTTTTGTGAACTTAGAGTTGTGCATATTTGGCTGCTGGAAGCTTAAGCACTTATGAATTCAGCCAATGGTTAGAGTTGAAACTTTACACAGGTGCTTTTGTTTAGCCTTGATACCTAAATATATGCATATGTGGAAGTGCAATATCTAAATAATTTGCAAATAAAGATTTTTTTTAAGTGCTAAGTGAGTTTGATATGCTGTGGGGTTTAAGGTTCAAATCTTACTTGGGGTTTTGGTATTGCTGCTGAAACATGCTTTTGGAAAGAGTCTTTAATGGTGGCTGTTTTTCCTGTTGCTGAAAGCTGTGGGAACAGGTGGTCATTGCTTTGTGGAAATCTATTAAGATACTCTGCAACAAATGGCCTGAAGTGTGGAACAGGGTGAGACAATGTGCTGTTGCTGACTCTGTTATCTTATTTGAGGAATTCTGAACTGTTAGCTTCCTAGTAGGTTGTTTTTTAAAAGAAAAAAAAGTTATCATTGTGGCTCTGTTCTGTTGAGATAGTAGGGCCAGCTTATTTGAAGTAGACATCAACAGTAAACCAAGTGCTTCAGAATTGGCAAAACTTACATGGGAATAGTACGGCTTTCTAATTCTGTCTAACTTCTTGGAAAAGATGTAAGCTTAACCTTTTAAGGTGCAAAGTATACGATTGTTTAGCCCTTCTTATTTTATTAACTATGAAGTGAAGGACAGGAGCTGTCTTTAAACTTTAGATGCTGCTTCTCTAGCAGCAGTACATGCTCTGTCTTGCCCAGCTTCTCTCAAGACTAGTAACTGAAGGCAGCTTCAAATTCTGCTTGCTTTTTAGGGCAGTATTCAGCTAGTGCTGGTGGTAGCTGTACACTGAAACTGATGCATTTGTAGCTTCAGTTTTGTTAATTAAGTACCTACAGTTCTGCTATATAGTTCAGGATAAAGTTGCAGAACTAGTGCCAGAAGGCATCTAGTCTTGTTTATCTGTTGCTTTCTGAGAGGTCTAAAGTCAAGAAATGCCAGAAATCAATCTGTGTTAAAATATCTCGCATGATATGTTTTTTTTTTTACTAGTAACATCTTAAATATAGTGGGTTTAAGGTGCATGTGCAGTCAATATTGTAAGCCATTTCCACATGATCCCATTTCCTACTAATTAGGGGTGGGAGGAACACTGTTTCAGGACATGTGCTGCTGATTTGGAGAGGGGACTGATTTCCTTTAACAGTTTGTATTCATTTACTACCAGTAGTAAAGCAATTGGCTCATAGTATGCATCCTTCTAAGCTGTTTGAATAAAAGTGTTTAATAGTGGCTAAACACACTCCCACCACCCACTTAAAAGTACTAGTGTGTGAATTAAACAAAAAAAAAACCAAAATGTGGAAGTGCCAGTGTTACACTCTCATAATAGAGGAGATTTATATAGTCCAAGCTGTGTCTTTTCTAGTGTGCTGGAAGCTGTTGCTCCAAGGGTACACAGCTAATGAGCAAAAGCCAAGGAACAATTCAAATTTTCCTCACTTCAATGGAAGAACTGCAATAGGATCTGATTGAGAGTCTATGGACTCCCTCTCGTGGCCAACACAATAGTCCATTTCAAGTCTGATGATGGACAGTGCAGTTAATACTTGTGATATCTGCATCAGGCTGTGATAGCATTATAGATCAAGGTTTATTTTGGGAAGCTGTGGGCAGAGAGGCCAGTCTCCCTCCCTTCAATGGAACTCTTTTTGCTTAAGACTAGTACAGGGTGATGGTTGGATATATATGTAGATGTCTGTGTGCATAATCAAGGTTTGTCCAGCTATCAATCTGCCATGTGGAAACTTTCAAGTATCAAGCTCACATAGCTAAGGAACTGATTTTAATCACATGGGGTTAATGATGTAAAAGCTCAAGAGGACATTGTAATCTTGGGAAAAAGGTAAAGAGATTTTTCTCTTTCAGTTTGTCTGATGTGTAGTGTCTGCTGTTAGGATTTCTTTATCCTTCCAGCTGCCCTCTGGTTTCTGCACAGTTCTGAATCAATTCAGTGTGTCTGGGAGTGAGACAGACTGAAGAAAGGTAATCTAGGGAGAATGAGTAAGTTTAATTAGAAATGTGCACCTTGACTGCAGCCAAGTTAATGCTGATTCAAAGCACTGATAATCACACCAGCAATAATGCTTTTTAGATGCATTACTGTCGATTGATTACTAGTCTGCCTCAAATGACTAGTCAGGGGTGTGCAGTAGTGAGGACTGCATTTGAAAGCTGATAGAAAGTAGGGAAAACCGAAGTAATAATTGGTTTCTTGTTGGGTAGAGTGGATAATTGTATAACACATGTTTAGATATCTTGGGATTGGTGGTGGTCAGAAATGGCAAGTGTGCCTGGAATTTCCAGATCTACGTTAGTAACTGATATTATGGTAATGCTTTTTTTACCTGCTGAATCTTAGATTGCATTAAACACAGCAATTTTGATTCCATCTTGAACTGACCAGCTCCAGTATCCATGATGCCTGTCTTGCTTCTAAACTGAACTGTCCAGGGAAGCAAACAGGTAAATGTGTATGATGTGAACAGCCTTTGAAGTGGCAATGAGGAATGAACCTGGCCTAGTAAGGCTTAGTGCTTCAAATAAGTTTTTTTTTCTCAGTGGCCACTGGTAGAAGAACTGAAAAATAAACTTGCTGGCTAAAGTCAACTTTTCAGTGCAGTATTTCCCAGGAAATGAAACAACACATTGAGAAACTTGGGTTGTCAAATTAAAACACTAAATTGAACAGCCAGTCTGGAATAGATCTTTTGGGTTACTTGAATCTTGTCTGGGTGAGGATTGGAACTAACTTCTTGCTTTTTCTAGGAGGAACTGCTGGATATTAAAGAGCGTCCCTACTCTAAGCAAAGACCTTCTTGTCTTTCTGAAAAATATGACAGGTATTTTCTTGATTATACAAAAACCATATATATTTGTTTAAAAATAAAAGTTTAAGTTGCAAAAAATTCTTAGCCAAGAAGTGCACTGACATTGATGCAAGTTGTATGTGCTCCAGAGTTCAGTGTATGACAGTGTTTTCAGATGTACTGATCTACTAAGAAAGGCTTAATGCTCCAGCTAGCAACTTTGTGCTTTGAACAAAGATTATGAGATCCAGCAGAAAATAACTTCACACAGCACAACTCTTACAGACAGGCAGGAAAAACTACCAAGAATATAGATGGCTGTATAGCACAGGCTAGGTCATGTTGTGACAGGCTGACTTGTTGCAACTCTCCCATGTTGACAGTGAGCTTCATTTAAAAATGAAGGTGAGAGCGTAAACAGCAGCATCTTTACTATTCAGATTATTTTATTGTGCAAGTAAGTATGAGACTGAGGTAAAATTTTCTGATTGCTTAAGAACAGCGCCATATGATCTACTTGAGCTATTTTTTCAGTGTACCGGCAAATGTCACCAATAACTAGTGGGACAATGTGTCCATATTTTGTCCCTTTTATAATCTGATGCTGGATATTATACTTCCTTACTGTTACAGAAGGAATCCAGAATACCATGTATGAGGTGATAAGTAGAGTAAGGCAAAGATTTAGAAGTTGGGTGTGAAAGATATTTTACTTGTGCAGATGGCTCGTCAGTGAATTCTAGGTTTTCAGCAGCAGTACAATGAATTATTTATTAGACTACGAGTAGCAAACAATCCTGCAATTTTATTTTCATAGTGATGGTGTCTGGGATCCAGAGAAGTGGCATGCATCTTTATATCCAAGTTCAGGAAGAACTTCACCAGTGGAAAGCTTTAAAAAAGATTTGGATTCAGATCGGACTTCTCTTATGCGTAGGATTGTAGGTAAGTGCGTTCTTACAGCACAAGACTCAAAACAGAACGTAGGCTGTTGGCAAAACTATTCTTTTGGACAACACAGATAAGACCAAAAAAGTCTCTCTGAAAATTGTTTGACTGTGTAGAATAAATGTCAAGGAAATTTTGGTTGCTCCAACTATAGTCTAGTTTCTGGTAACTTATCTAAGAACAAACTTAGGTAGCATCAGTTATTATATGCTGCTGTTCTTGCTATACAATAGCGAATACATATGTAATAATGCAAGTGCAGAGGACAATTTCGCTACAATTCAAGATTGAGTACTCAGGAGGTCAGGTGCTTCCTAGGAAACCACAATGATTCCTCAATATCCAACTGTAATTTTTTTTTTAATCTGCCCTTCCTGCTAGATTTAGCTTTGCAAAAATCATGAGTGCTTTCCTTCAAGAAGCTCTGGGGTAGCCTTCTGTTCCATAGCCTTGCTGCTGTTATACAGATAACTAGCTTGCATTTACTAATACATTAAATTCAATGCTTTTTATGTGGTCTTTCTCTTGTAGATCCAAGAGAGCGAGTGAAAGAAGATGACCTGGATGTAGTCTTAAGTCCACAAAGGCGAAGCTTTGGAGGTGGCTGTCATGTAACTGCAGCTGTTAGCTCACGTCGAGCAGGGAGCCCATTAGAAAAGGAGAATGATGGCATTCGTGTTATTGGTGGCCGTAGGATTGGCAGTGGAAGAATTATCTCTTCTCGTAACTTTGATAAAGACCACCGGGGTGGTGAAAAAGACTTGCGTGATTCTAGAGATGCAAGAGACCGAGATCGTGAGAGGGACTACAAAGATAAACGCTTCAGGGTTTGTTCTTTTTTGATTGCATGATAAATTAGATTTTTTTGACACTTTGCATTGAAAGCAACACTGCATACAGCAGTGAAGTGTTCCATGCAAGTAGGCCATTTCTTCCTAAAAGCACCTTTATGGTGTAAAGGGTGAGCACTCCGTGCTTCAAAACTGAAGTTTTCAATCCTTCAGACAGATCAACTGGGATACATCCAATACTGTGTATCTTACAAACCTGCTTTCTGTGGTAGACTTAATAGCAAGGTATTCAAAACTCTAATAGTTCATTGGTAGTTCTTGAACAAGCATTGTCTTAACCTCAGGAGATGGAAGCTTTCCATGCTTTCAGCCTTTTTTTTTCTTTTCTTTAAAAAGGAGGAATCACTAGCCTACCTCTCAGGATACAAAACTGAGTGGATACAGGCACTTGCAGACCAATAGCCTTTAGTGTAATGAAGCAGAAATTCAACTGTGAAGCTTAAAATTTAAAAGCCTACTGAGCATGCAGAGTGTGCATATAAACCCTAAAACAAAACAACAAAAAAACTCCCAACCAACTAAAAAACCCAAAACAAAAACCAACCCAGAACTGGTGTGAAAAAGTTGTCATTTGCTTGGGAGGTCAGGGAGGAATCTTACGAAGCAGCATTTTATGGTTAATGTTTTTATTATCCCACTTCAGAGGGAATTTGGTGACAGCAAACGTGTCTTTGGGGAGCGAAGAAGGAATGACTCTTACACTGAAGAGGAACCTGAGTGGTTCTCTGCTGGTCCCACAAGTCAGTCTGAAACCATTGAGCTCACAGGCTTTGATGATAAAACTTTGGAGGAAGATCACAAAGGGAGGAAACGTACAAGACGACGCACGGCCTCAGTAAAAGAAGGTAATGGCAAATTTGACAAAAGCTTTGCTTGTCTGCTGATATGGCATATTGCTGGGTAGAGAGGTGAATGTTACAAATACAGGCAAGTGTAAAGAATAATGCAGTGTATTGACCTTAGTCTTAAATTTGCCTAGTGTTTTGTCATACTGAAGCACAAATGTAAAGCCTATGACTGTTCAGATTGCAAATACCTTTAAAGGATAAAATACTATTTTTACAAAAGAAAGGCAGGACCAAGAGGCTGGGGAAAAAACCTTGTATGGATGTTGAATGATTCTATGAATTTGTAAGCTATTAAGTCTTGTCCACTTCTGTATCCTGCTGGGTGCTAAAGGCTTTGTTTAAACTAAGCTAGTGCTCTGAGGGGCTTTAAAGTTTTTTCCTTATAGTAATACTAACATTAGGAACACTGAATTGGATATACAGCTGCCAGTAATATAGCTTTAAGCTAAATTTGGAGACTATCTGAATTTGTCTGCATTCATTGGACTTCAAGCCCATAATTACTATTACCACTGCAAAAGCTGTAGTATAATCTTTTCTGAGGCAAGAGAGATGACTATGACCTCTTAATGCTTGAAATTATGCAGGTGGACAACATAAACCAGAAGAATTCAGTTTTAGTTGTGTATTCATTTAACTAAAACATAGTAGTTTCAAGCATACTAGGTCTGTAGTCATGTCACAACTTCTTTGCAGCACCTGTGCAAGCTTGTTGGGTCTTTCAAATTACACATGGTTTGCCCCTGCTAGAGGAGTAGGAGCAATATTTCTCATGTTGACAATATTAAGAACTCATGTCAAGTACCAGCTTTCAGGGAGTCTGCTCTCTGGGGCACCTAGGAAGAAGGCAGGAGCTGCCAAAAGATTCTTGATGGAAAAGCAGCAGCAGCTGTTAACTTACTGTAACAGCTGTGTCTGCTTGGTTTGACATACATCTGACATGTTCTCTGTACTTCCTGCCTTGATCAGGATGCAGTTGTTTATGCATGTTTCAATGACAAATCTTATTTTCTTGAAGTAGATAGTCTTAATTACAGACTAGAAACCTCTGTGCTAGGAGTTCTTGGGGGTGCCAGCGTCTGTTGTGGCAGGCTGTAACTGCACAAAATAACTGAAATATCACCTAGGTGTCTGGATAAGTGATCCTGTGCTTCTAATTCCTAGGAAAAGGCCCTGACTGTTAGACACTGTTCCCATGGGAAACAGTCAAGTTCAGTGACTCAGCAATTATTTGATTTTCTTTTTAAGGGATAGAATGCAATGGTGGAGTGGCAGAAGAGGATGAAGTGCAAACTGTCCTTGCTAATGAAACTCCAGCAGATCAAGAAGTTCCTAGGGAAGCTGTTTTACAGGAGCCAGCTCCAGGAGAGTTTGACTTCAATGAGTTCTTTAACTTGGATAAAAGTGTTCCTGGCCTGGCTTCGGTGAGGTTTTGTTTTTTTAAGACTGGCTGTATTAATGAGAAGCATTTTTTCTGCTGCTGCATTCAGTGAAGGCTAAAACTTCTTGCTTTGTGGAAGCTGCTTTATGCTGTGTGTAACTTTAAGATTAATTTGCAGAGCTTTAGCTTTGGAGTGTTAGAATGCTACTTCTAAAGTGTCATCCCTGCTACTGATACCTAGGAGGTAGTAACAAGGCTGTGAACACTTGCACCATGATTTCTTCCAATAGTGAATTTTTACCTCCAGCCGTGATTTGATGGGGATTCTGGTACTTCTGTTGGTAGAGTGCAGTTCTTGAACATCTGATCTCTAGCAGTAATAGCAGATCTTTTGGTGTTCACTGTTTTTAGTCTGAAAGCTGTAACGGGGCTGTGTCTTACCATACTACTTCTTCACCACAAGAAGGGGTAAGCAGGTCCAGCAAGTACTGACTGAGCATGGGCCTAATTCATAACCTGCTGATGTTTCTGTTATAATCTCTCCATCACTAGGAAGAAAAGCTGTTCTTCACTGTTCCAGATAGTATAACTGATTCGTAGATTTGAGTAAAAAGACTTAGTGTTGTAGAAAGGTAAATGTGTTTTAAAAAAAAGTGTTCTGACAGCAAAGAAACAGACCTCATACAGGTTAGTAATGCTAAGGTTTGAAAAAATAGAATCCTGACCTAATCTTTAATGTGGAAAAGCTGCTCGCATTAAAAAAGGTTCATCATATGGTGGCAGTAATTCAACAAATACATAGTGGAGAGTTTGTTCACCCTATAGAAGACATCTTTGGCAGGACACTGTTTCCTTTTGACTAAAAGTAAACGTGCTGCATCGTGAAACTGCATCTGTGCCTGTTGAGCAGGCTTTGAACTGTATGCTGTCTTGCAAGATAGGAAAAGCTTTAGTTTAGGTTAAATTTTATAATGCGCTGGTTTTTAGATACTTCTAATGATTAGCAAAGAAGTAAAAAATCACTATGAAGTGCAGCGACTTCTGACAGACTAACTTGATGAAGTACTGCTTAGTGACCTCAGTCCTGCCTGGAGGGAGAAGGTGCTAGCTGCCAAACTTTGATGCAGACTCTGAGTGGAAGAATGCAACCCTCTTCTTATTCCCAGAATGGTTCAGTATGTGAAGTGCAAGCAAGTAGCTCTTAGCTACTGGCCTTCTCCCCCAGCCCTCATGGGATGTTCTCAAGTCAAGGAGTATTGGCACTTCATTCCTTGGCCAGTGCTGGAACTGAACAGATCATGATTGCATAAAATCCAACAGATCAGAGTATTCCTTTTGTACAGTAGTGGGGACTAGCCTTGAGCCATCTGACTGTCAAAATTACTAGTTATAATTTGTTTTAATTCTTGAAATGCTTCTCACTTTTTTTGGCACATCTGCTTTAAAATGGTGTGGTTAGCAGTCTTTGGATGCTCTGATTATGCTGTTTCAGTTACAGTATTACTCTGAACAAATATTTGGTATAAATATGATGTATGATGGGTTATGCTAACCGACTACACAAATGCTGCCATATTGGAAGGCAGTTCAAAGCTTCTGAACTCTGGGAGCAGCATCTAGTCTGTAGCAGAAGAATTGTGGTTGCACAGTAAAGCTTCTCAAAGATGCTGCTGATCTTGCTTCTGGTAAGATTATCTGTTTTTTTTTTTTCCCCCCCCTATAATCTAGATGATAGAGGATGTGCTGGGGGAAGGTTCAGTGTCTGCCAGCAGGTTCATTTGTGGTTTTCTAATCCTAGTCGTTCTGGAAGTCGGTCAAGCAGCTTGAGATCTACACCACATGAGGAACTGGAGAGGCTAGCAGGTAAGACTATAGGAGAATGCAGGGTCAGATGGCCTCATTCTGTATTCCTTCCTACTCATTGAATAAAAACATGGCAGATAAAGCTTTAGGATAGTGAATTATCCCACAGTTTAAACACTTGACATTCTTTTGCAAGCTCTTGTAAGCAGCTATAAGTTCTTTTTTTATAAATGTTCTTGTCATGCTTCCTGATGACTTTCCAGCTGATCTTGGGCAAGTGGTATGAGCCATAACTTTTCGGTGACGTATTGAAGTTGGTTACCAGTGTATGTTCATCTTGAGACATTGGGTTGGTAAACTGATGTCGCAGTGCTCCTGGTTTTGCTGTTTCAGGTCTAGAGCAAGCCATTCTCTCCCCTGGCCAGAACTCTGGAAACTACTTTGCTCCCATTCCATTGGAAGACCACTCTGAAAACAAAGTGGACATCCTAGAAATGCTACAGAAAGCCAAAGTGGACTTAAAACCTCTTCTCTCAAGTCTTTCAGCCAACAAGGAAAAGCTTAGAGAGAGCAGTAAGTGCCTCTTCAGAAATTGTTGAGTTCTTGTGATGCAGTATCTCAAGGCAAGAGGCTTGATATTCTAGAAAGCTCAACTGACAAGTCCAGAAGTAGGAAGTGTTATAGGTTTACTTACGCTACTGAAAACCCAGTATTCCAATTTTGATCTCATTTGTGTCCATATCATCACTGACTCTTTTCATCCTGATCACAGGATGACATCAGGACTCTATCAGACTGCTTTACTGGCCAGTAATAATCACAAGATAAGACAATGCACGTCTTGATCTGACTTTCCAACTTAGTCTATGGCATTTACATAAGTTTTTGATACTGGAGACTGGTAATGTCAGCTCTGAAACTGGCATTTTAACTCTGGCTTTAACAAAAACTTAGAAGTGTAAGTCACTCTTGGAAGCATCTATAATGGATCACATTGATCTATTAAGTATCAGTATCTAAAAAGATGAACAGTGGCTTGAGGATGTCAGTTTTTTCAAGTGTATACTGTAAACTTCTCAAGACTGTTGCTAGCATTTGAAGCTCAGTGATCTATGCTCACTGTTCAGTGCAATAATTACATAACTAACATTGAGATAAATCTGTTCCTATGTTGTAACTCTTTTGCTAACTTGGCTAGAATCATGGGATTCCAGGGAGCTTAGTCTGCTAGAATTCACTTCTGCTAGCATCAGCTGTTCTAAACAGAGTTCAGGGCTGACTTTAAACTTAATGTCCAAGGGCACCTCCAAGTTCGGGATTTGCATGTTTGGGCCCACAGCATGCATGGAGGGTACAGAATGCATGTGTTCTTTGAAATCTCAAGGTCTAATTCTGAACTGGTTTCTCTTTGGCAAGCAGTGTGTATTGCCATGTAAACTGGACTAAACAAAAAGGAATGCTACTCTGATTTGTGTGAAGTAGCTAGGAAGGAAAGCATCCAAGCACTGCAACTATTCTTAAGCATCCAGCCTGGGAGTAGGGAGTGTTAGCCAGCACATGGAGAACATTTTCTTAATTTGACTTTAATAGAACTACTAGTCTTTTCTGTGTTCTGCTTAGTCTGACTTTCCTACTAAAAGCTTTTTAAACTTTGATCCTCACAAACCAAGGATGAAGGAACAAAAATTGTGGGGAAGCTTCCATTCACTCAGAAGTACCTGATGTGGGTTCTGTATTCCCATAAAATGCTGTACAGTTCTTCAAGTGTTGTGGAGTTTTCAAGTCAATTCCTCTCCACCAACATCATATTTTCTCTCATGTTCCATACTGCATGTCTGCATCATTGCTTCTTTTCTTCACCTTCTTGCCCAAATTTCCAGTAAGTCTTATTTCTTTGCGTCAACATCTGCTACAGCAACCCATGGCATGCTCCTGTCTCTTCCTTTTCTCTTAAGGCGCCATACCTCATACTGTGTGTCAGCTGGTCCATAAAGCATGTCTAGACTTGATGTCAGGCACTGACAGATACTTATATACTCATACACAGGGAAAAAGTACTGCTTAATAACACTTGTGCTCTATTCAGATTATGCCAGTGAAATCTTTCTATAGTAGCTTTAATTTCTGAGCAAAAAAAATCTACTTCAAACTTTATGCACCTCACACTAAGTGTGTAACTGAGCTGCCAGAGTATCTCAGTTTTACAGGTATGTATTCTCTCCACTTGTGATACCTACCTTCAGACAATTTGACGTATCTTACACTGTGGCTGTGAGACCATCTGGTCTCGTGAAGTACAGGATAAATTGAACTTTTGTAATTGAATAAGAACAAACTCAGCTGTTGCATTAATATTCTTTGTTAAAAGCAGGTGAAGTTGTAAAATGTAGTAACAACATGTCTTGCAGGATAAATTAAATCTAGTGAGAACTTATCAGTTGAAAACTAAAGAGGTTCTTGTGGAGTCTTACATCCATGTAGTTGTGTGTGGCAATACTCCTAATTTGAATATGAGAATATCAGTTTAAACACAGGCCAGACATGGTTTGATAGCTAGTATGAGTATCAGAAGATAAGTTTTTGGCTGTTCCTTTTTTGGAAACAACTTGTATTCAACACCTGCATAAGAATTATTAGCTCGCTTCCAAACAGAGAAGCATGGTTTACCAATAATTCTCCTGTATTTCTCAGCACATTCAGGAGTTGTACTTTCAGTGGAAGAAGTTGAAGCTGGGCTAAAAGGCCTGAAAGTGGATCAGGAGGGAAAAATTGCTACTCCATTTATGGCTGAGCAAATGGAGGAGGCACTGAATGTCACTGGCTCCAGACAGATCAAGAAAGATGGAGATATGACTGCATTTAACAAACTAGTCAGCAGTATGAAAGCAAGTGGGACTCTACCTTCACAGCCCAAAGTCAATGTAAGTAGCAGAAACTTGGCTTTTCTGAACTGTGCTAAGACAAGGCATGGGTTATGAATAGGGAACCCCTCACACAACCCTTCTGATAACATGTGAGCCATGACTGGATACAGCAGCATGATGTTCAGTAGAGGCTTACATTTAGAGTGTTGTTGCTTGGAGGGGGAAGTAAGGGAGGTGCTTTGGTTCTCCTACACTTGAACTCATGCTGTCTGAACCTTATTTAACATAAACTAATGCATCTGTTGAAAAGGTACTGTCTATGGAACAGACCTCATCAGTCCTCTCTTTATGGAAGGCTTGCCAGTGTTAGTTTAATGGTTGTCTTAGTGCTGCTATTAAAAGGCATCTGTTAAAATGCTTGTAGTATGGGTACAGCTAACACTTAGCTGAAGCTCAGATGTCTTGCTTTAGTGACTTTTGTTTTAATAGAGGTATGTCAATGCACAATCTACTATTTTAAACTTGGATTTTTTTAAATTATTTCTACCAAGATGAAACTAAACTGAATACTTGTTAGATGAAAGATTAATATTAAACAACAGATGATGCTAAGCTTTAGCCTGGAAGAGACGGTAGTGTGAAATTTCATCCTGCCACTAACTGCCTAAACAGTATGCTTGACCCAGAAGCTATCTGTAACTACTTCTAGGCACCATAAAATACTTCTAACAACTGAGTAAGTCTAAACCATCTGTTTTTCCTGACAAACTACACCCAAGGACTTCTAGCCTCATCCCACTTCACTAAAAGACAGTGAAGAATGTAAATTTGCCCTGTGAAGAATTTGCAGACTAATTTCACACTTAAATCAAGACTCTAATTTCTGGCTGTCCCTTTACATTGACATGTAATTTTGATGCATAGAGGAATATCTTAAATTATTTATGTAACATACACTTTTCAGTTTGTGCATAGTTTCAGTTGACCATTTGGTCCAATGTTTCATCTCCAGTTTACACAATTATATAAGTTCATATACCTTACTCAAACTTGAATAAGGCACATTGAACTTCCTGTACATAATGTAGCACTAAGCATTTTTTTAGCCAGGGAAGATCTGTGAGCCAGCTCAGCCCTTAACTTTGCTGGAATTTTATTTGGCTGATGCATAAACTATGGTTCTAATAGAATAGGTGAAATTATTTCTGTCACTGAGACAAATGTGGATTGTCTCTTAATGAGTTTGATACTTGTTGTATCTACATCTAACTTACAATGTTTTCATTTTCTTAGCAGAGCCTTGAGAGCCACTTAATGTCACCTCCAGAGATGCCAGGCCAGCCTCTATCAAAGAATATTCTGCAGGTACTTCTTACTGGTTGGGGGAGAAGTACTTAAGTGTATCCCCAGTGGGAAAACAGAAATTATTTGAAAATTAGACATTAAGGCAATTATGGGATCAGTAGTCAGACATTACTCTAGAGAGAGGAAAGAGAACTAGGCACTAGTTCAGTTTACTTAGAAATTTGTCTTTGTTATGCTATTTGCCATGATTATACCTTGAAAATTAAAAACCTAAGTAGTTAATTCTAACAACACTCCAGAATTGGTGTATCTAGTTGCCCAAGTTCACCTTGTCTCTATAACTTGCTATAAATAGTGTAGCCTATAGTGTAGTAAAATGAGCTCATTCGTATAAATTGATCATATTCTGAACATTCTTTCATTACTTATTCTTAGGAACTTCTTGGCCCACCCATTACCAGACCTGCTTCATCAAATGTCTTAAGTGGCCTGATAGGGGGTTTGGAACCTGCAGCCTCTTTACTGACACAGAGAGCACCTTCTCCCCCTATTCCACCTGTGTTTCCAACTCGAGCTGCTTCTGCAGATTACCTGCGCCATAGAATATCTTCACCCATTGGTGAGTCTAGTTGCAAAACAGGTTTTTTTCTTTTTTTATTACTTGAGTCTACAGAACAATAAAAACTTCCTGGCACTTGGTGGGTGACTAGGTCAGTGTCTGCCTCTTGAGTGTAAGATGCCTTTTTACTTAATGGTTTCTCATGTTAAATTAATCTGCAAAATATGTAGATGTCTGTGATGGATTAACTAGATGTCACAGTAAATTCTGGTGTGGAGTAATATGCTCAGCTACTGTATAAGAAGACAATTTTCAGGGACTACTTGGCCATTTGTATTGCAAAATGCTACCAGTGACCTCTCTGTAGGTCTCCAGCCCAGTGACAAGGAAGAGATGTGGTTCTGTGTAGATGTAAGGGATGAGCTGAGATGGATGATTCCTTCTTCACAAGGAATCCTTAATTCCTTGTAGAATTGTTTAACTTATGGATGTGTACTGTATATATTGGAATAAACTGTTATTCCTTTTAAATACAACTGTTGAATGTTCTTTAGGTTTTGGACAAGGTTCTCAGCAATTGCTTGGTGATCCATTTTCAGGTGTAAGGAAGCCCATGAGTCCAGTTGCTGCACAGGTTAGATTAAATGCTTTTTGCTTAATGTGTCTTCATCTTTTTATATTGTGCGGTCTAGAACTAACTTGTGGAAACACAGATTTATCTGCCACATTCAGACAGACATTTATGCTGAATCAAGCTCACTCTGAGTGTGAGGATGCAAAGTCTACAGTCTCAAAACTTCATTGTAATTGGACCTATCTTAGAGTATCTTAAGTACAAGATTTTTTTTGAAACTTCTATTGTGTCAAAAAACAGATGGCTGTGGGTGGGCAGACACTTTGAAGACATTAGTAGCTATAGCAGTAAACATTCAGTATCTTAAAAAACCCTAATCAAATACAAGCTTTGTTTTCTATACAACTCTGCTTCAGATGAGTCCCTTGGAAATACAGCAAGCTGCATTAGAGGGACTAGCATTGCCACATGACTTAGCCATACAGGCAGCAAACTTCTATCAGCATGGCTTTGGTAAACCCCAGATGGACAAAAGCAGAGATGGCTACAGAAACAGGTGAGTAATTTAAGGGGTATACTGTCAACTGATTTTTAATGTATTTTCTTTCACTAGATATTAGTACTAGTGATTCAAGCTTGTGTTGGTTCTTGTTAATCCTGCCTTTGACTCTGTGCCAAGAGTGGAGCTGCTTCTTACTAACTTCCTGTCCGTTAACAGGCAGCAGCGAGTGACTAAATCGCCTGCACCAGGACACAGAGGGAATGCCTCTTCTCCAGCCCCTACAGCATCCATTACTAGCATGGTCAGTACCTAACGTGTAATGACTGTAGGAGAAGCTGTAGAAGTGTCTGCAGTAATTAGATTACAGCAGCTGTAACTGGTGGGAGAAAGGGAGGCCATAGAGGAATTAACCATATTCAGGTTGTATTGGTGGCCACATGATACAAGAATGAATTACACTTGTCTTCATTTTGGAAAACAGCATTTTCTGACAACTGTCTTTATCTAAAACTGAAGAAGCACCATTAGTATTACCTTGACTGGGTCTTCTGAAACCAAAGGAAGATAAATACGAAAGCTCAGGCTCTCATTTGCTACTTAGTTTTCAGAAGACAAGTGCCGACTATCACTGCTAAATCAAATAAGTACTTATGTTTGTATACCAAATGAGTGGCTTCCACAGATGCTATGTAAGTTTGAATGGGGAGGAAAATACAAATGAGGCAGTAGTTTTCTGCAGATCTGTCACCCCTGAGTTAATACAGATAAGGCAGTTCTGTAGGAACTCCTGTTGAGCTCCTGTTCTGAACCAATAGCAAAGAGGAAACAGCTGTAATTTAAAATACAGCTCATCTATTTTGTTTCAAGCCTGTTAAGGTACATTTAACTTTGAGAATGTGCTGGCTTTAATAAAGGTATTTGACTTCTGCAAAAGCTAGAATTGACCACAGCTAAGATAGCATTATGGCCTAGATGAGCACTGAGTAAGGTGTTGCTTCTTACTATGTTCTCTGCAGCTGTCTCCTTCCTTTACACCTACCTCGGTGATTCGCAAGATGTACGAGAGCAAGGAGAAGAGCAAAGAGGAGACAGTTTCTGGGAAAATGAAAGTCAGTGATGGTAAAGATGAAAATCGGAGGCCAAATGAAGGTATTGTACTGGCTTTAAAGTAACACACCCAAAAGAGATTTGGAATAGAATCAGAGAGCTTCAGCATATAATATGCCCAGGGTAACTTTAGACATTCCCAATGTGTGGAGATGAGGAGGGTGTAGAAGTGAGCCTATACTGAGAGGAAGGGGTAGAGCTATGGAGAGGATACACTTCCAAGTGCAGTCTTTTAGCAGTGCTGGGTTTAAATCCATTTTTTTCCTTATCTGTCAGCTTGTGAGCAATAGTTGACACTAAGATCCCTGGACCAAAACTGTTTCTGTGCAACTGGTCTTGATGAACAAGCATATTAACAATAATGCTTCCATACCTCTCTACACCAGTAATTGAATACAAGCAACTTGAGACATCTTAACTGAACAATCAAAGCTGAGACCAATTAAGCTCTTAAGTGATCAAGGAAGCATTTTGTCACCCTAACTGATGTAATTGGCTATTAAAAGGAAATGCTCGATACCAGTTGCCTGACCCAGTGAGACTTGCATGCCTAACTGCCATGACATTGTACTTCACTGGTAGCTACGGAGGTAACTTGCGGTTCCTATTATACAGTTGACTTTTTTTCTTTTTAGGACTCCAACTATTACTGCTACCTCAGCTGGTAGCAGATGATTCTAAGGTATTTTAGGCCTTGTCTAACTGATCTAGATGGTCTGTGGAAGTAGCTTCTTGAGGTGCTTTAGTGTTCCAAATCTTGCTAAGCAGATGTCAGACATAGAAGGCTGCTGTTAACCCCCAGACACATCTAAACTGAAAAACCACTTTGGACTAGATTTGTGGCACTCCAAATTATAATCTTGTCTAGGCAGGATCCCTTGTACCTCCTGTTGCCTTTACGACTGACTCGTACGTGCTGGCAGTTCAAAATTTCTAAGAGGAAAAATAAGAATTCAAGTGGAGTTACTGCTGATTGTGACCTAATTTAAGCTTGCTGACAAGGGATTTCTGTGGAACATACTCCTTCTCATTATTGTTTTGAAACAATTTGAAGAGCATCCAGGAAAGACAGATGCTTATTATTAAATATATATGACAGAAGTTTAGTCCTGGAATCTAGCTATCAAATCAAGTCATTAGCTTTAATCTTCATTCAGTATAATCTCTAGCTGTGGACTATAATAGCTGTATTCAATTCTAGCTACAGATAACCTACTATCTAGTTCTGTGGAGAATGCAGATCAAGAAACTTTGCCCACCTTAGGTACCAAAATACCTGCACTGCAACGCTCTGCATGTTCCACACCTCTTAACCAAGCAAATCGTTGCACCAAAGAGCAAGACTACAGGCCTAAGTCAACTGGTAGAAAGACTCCTACGATGGCCTCCCCAGTACCAGGAGGCCCTTTTCTTCGTCCTGTTCATCAAGTACCCCTTGTTCCCCATGTACCAATTGTACGACCTGCTCATCAACTGCATCCAGGATTGGTCCAGAGAATGCTGGCACAGGGGGTTCATCCACAACATCTTCCTCTGCTGCAAGCAGGTAATCCATACTTTTTGCACTTAAGTTACTGCATGTTCTCTGTAAGAGTGACTTTATGTTAGGAACAGCTCAAGCTGATACTCTTTACTGGTAATATTTATTACATGAAAACTTACCTCTATAACCAGGCAATAAATTCCAACCTATCTAAATAAACTTGTTTTGCTTTAAGTTCCTTATGCTTATTGCTAAGAAGTTTCCTCACTCTTGTTCAACAGGTATGCTTCCTCCTGGAGTGGACCTGTCTCACTTGCAGGGAATATCTGCTCCCATCCTTGGCCAACCTTTTTATCCGCTACCATCAGCAAGCCATCACATCTTAAATCCACGCTCTGGGACACCTTTGCAGCTAGCAATGATGCAACAGCAACTACAACGATCAGGTAGGCTAAAACGTAACAGGAGTGTGAGTTTTAGAATACTGACAAGCCTCTTCCTGGTACTATACTTGTTGGCCTTTTTCAGTATAGTGTGCTAACAGGAAGCTACTCTTAATTTAGATACTCATTATCACTAATCTTGTGTGGGTATCAGAGCAGTTTTGTCTACTGTAGGCCCGTATGCCAGAAGCAAGTACAAGCAAAGCATTCAGTTTCAAGATATGTGGTGCTATTGACAGATGTGCCTTTTGCAGCACAGGTGCAGTCTTCCTTTCCTTGCTGGGTGAGAGGCCACCCACCTATCTCAAATTCTATTTGATGCTTATCTTCTGGCTAAAACCTGCATGACACTGTGTCCAGAACTGGCAGTGTCAGGCAGTTTATGTGAGTGCCAAGAGAATAAATGTGGGGCCTGGATTTCTGAGCGCTAATAGAATTGAGTAAAAGCCACATTCAGCTCACATGTCTTACTATGTGATTGTTCTAGGGCAAATCTCAGTGTTGGGTGAGCATATCCCTCCACCTCTAATAGCTTTACATTTCACAGGCACTGGAGCACAGGGATCACCTGCTGGTGCACAAACAACCCCTCAAAATGTGCTGCCTCGGACTGGATTATCTCATGGGCACACACAGCTTGACCATCGCCCCAGCCAGAGAAGTGGCTCTCCCATTGGCCTTGCCAAATGGTTTGGTTCAGATGTTTTGCAGCAGCCTCTCCCTTCCATGCCATCCAAAGTCATCAGTGTAGATGAACTGGAATATCGTCAGTGAACAGTGACCACTGGGTGGGACACTTGCGATTCTTTAGACTGGATAAAAATGTCCATAGTCAGGACTTCACCTCTGTTTGTTTTTTGGGGCTTTTATTTTTAGCACTCTGTGCAAAATTTCTTTTTGAGAGACTAAAGCACATGGCACCTGTCCTGGTCTCATGTCTGCATCAAGACTAAAGGATCCATTATGGCTTGAATAGTGAAGCCTGAAGAAATTTAGATGCAAGACAAAGCCAGTTTAATCCTGGAAGTGTCTAACTTTTTGTTTTGTAAGATATGTGAATTAAGTGCTGATATTCTCTAGTGTAGAGGTAGCAGCTATAGATTCCTCCTGCAGAAAACTAAATGTATAGACCCTTGTGTACAGACTTGTGTATAAACAATCTTTTGTACATATACACATAGAATAGCCTTTTTGAATCTATACAGCTGTACATAAAAGTAGCTGGTAACAGTTGAGCTTTAGTTGTGCCTATGGTTTGGATCTTTCTCCAATGTACATGTGGGACTTTCCTTAAGATTAAAGTTGCATATCCTAAGTGTGAGTGAACAGGATAAAGTTGCTTTGCCTTTTCTTGCTGCTCATCTCCTCTAGGTCTCCCTCTCACATTCTTCTGTCACATACTGTGCACTCAGTGTAGCTAAAGTGTCAAAGTAAAAAGCCCACGTCTTGCTACCTGTATAACAAAGGTCTGAGTCCTTATGTGTATGACTCTTGCCACCAAATGAGACAATTGCTTAGTCTTCAAACAGCCTTGAGGATGGGACCTGTTACAGTAATAATAAAGCCAGATCTTCAGTCTGCCAGAAGCAAAGAGACGATAGGTACCTACTGGTCATAGTTCTTTCAAGAGGGCTGGTGCTGGTCCTTGTTTAGCTGCAGTATTTTCCTTGTTTTAATCGTTCAAACCAGTTGCTAAAGGTCATCAAAATGGAGAATTTAAAATCCTCACTCTTCAACTCCTCAGTCACAGCTGTGGTATGTTCAATGCTGCCTTCAGTTCTATTTATAGAAGGGAGTCCCAAGAACTGTCCTAAATCTAGTGTGCATCTACTGATGCAGTTACTGTGAAATTTGCCTTTGGAGTCTTGTTCTGTGGCTTGAAGGGGGGAGGATGGGGTAGTTTTGGTGATCTTACTGTGTATATTTGGTTTTAAAATACTATGTTCCTTTTAAGCCTGTTACACTCTCCTGAACAGTTAAGTGTTCTCTTCCATCCTTCTACTGCATGGTTCCCCACTTCACTTTCTCACTTGTGTTGAGTCTAGTACTGCTGTCATGTCCTCTATCTAGCTTAGGCCATTGTGCTCTTTTAAAAAAGGTGAAAGCAAAACCAGAATTCTCACGGACTTGCTCTTTCTTAGGTCTCACTGAATGCAAAACCAGCAGCAGGGAAAAAAAAAATCACTTGACTGTATTATAACAATTGCCAGCATGCTGTGGTGGGTTTGTTTCAGTCCAGCAGAGACAATGTTGTACAGAAGTAGCAAGCTGAAGTCTCCAATGTGGAATCTGTTGGGGGTCACCCATACTTTGAGTGGTTGTTCCTAAAACAATCTGTGTAAAACATGCAATCACCAGCTTGTCCTTGTAAGATTGTTTTCATACTTTTTTAACTTGACACTTTCCCAGTAACATTCTGTAAATAAAGTTGATTCTACCAGCTGTCTGTATCAACTTCTCTGGAACTAAACTATAATCTCAGTATATGAAATTTTAGTGTTGTTCTTGTGCATAAGTTAAACCATGGTTTGAGCTGAATCTGTAGAAAATTTCCACTTTAGTTTATCTTTCATGGTGGGGGAGAGGAACAGTCTGCTCTGATAAAGGCCTCACTGAAGACAATGAAATTGCTGCATTTAAATGTTTTTGTACAGCCATGGTTAAATGTAAGGGATGAGATTGCAGTGTACCAGAAGAACCTCTAAGGAAAGGGTGAATGAGGTTTGCTGTTCAAAGCTTCTCCTCCACATCCTCCCAGTTAAGGCTGTTAATCCTAGAACATTTGCAGTAGTTGATCTCACTGAGGTAGGACTTGACTTCTAAGCTTAGAAAAAATATTAGGGTGAATCTTAGGATTCAAACCTTGATTCTAGTCTTTCTTAGCAGGCTCAGTAGCAACCACTGTTGCAAGGATGTAGTGACTGAATGCGTGTCTGAAATTGCTGAACTTCTTTTTTTATATGTGCGATAACATGAGAGGGAGCACTTTTGACACATTTAAGTAAATATCCCCACTTCTTTCTTGTAAGAGAGCTACAAGAGGTAGCTAGAGGCTAACATACTTGACAGAACTCTAGAAATGAATGAAGTTAAGCTTTTTCTTTATGTTAATCATTCTGTTGCTTTTTTAACTGATATTAGAGTAGCCTGCTTCTCTTGTGCAACATTTGACTTCTCTAAGCTAAGCAGGACCTTCCTTTTAAGAAAACTTACAGCCACTAACACAGTAAAACACAACATCTAGTTTACTTCTACTACTCTAAACAACTGAAAAAGTGACTGCTCATGACCAGAACCTACCCTCTTTTCCATAACTACAGGACTATTAATAGCCTTGAAGTATTCAGGCACAAACACTTCAGATTAAGGCAGCTAGCACTCTATGTCCTCTAGCCCTGTTTCATAAGATAAGGTTCTCCAGCCTCTGCTTTTCATGTTTTGTTCTAATTTAGAACAAAATAAGTCCTGATGTGTGAACTCTTTTCCAATTTGGAAAGACATATGTAGCAGTAAATCATCCCAAGCATCAAAGCTTCCTTGTAAGATTTTGCCCTTGTGAAAGTCACTTAAAGTGAGTTTCTAATCTGTAAATTCTCCAGAATGGGGCACTGCAATACAAGTTGGCCAGAAACACCGGTTTTACCATGCAGTAAGGTATTACCATAAAAAAACAATACCAATTTGCTATAGGTTTGATAGAAATGGTCTGTTCTTTGCCACTTACAACTAATGACAGATTTTGGGCACAACAGCAAACTGTGTAACAACTTTATTTCTTCACAATCTGAATAACATCCTCATCTTCAAGAGTATGGTCTTTACCAACTTTTTGAGGGTTGTGTTTAACAGATGAACCCCAGACCAGTGCACTGAAAGGAGAAGAAAAATCAAATTTTAAAAGCTTAGAAGTATAATATGCAAACAGCAGAACAGCAGCTATTTCTGTCACAAAGCTAATACAGACAGCAATGCTTAAGAGCTATTTTTATTCTCCTGCAAGTACCTGGATGAGTGGTCTGTGTGAACCAGACTACAAGCAGATCAAAACAAAGTGTGAAGTCACCCAAAGTACTTGTGCATACAGGACCAGGGCCTGTAATGCTGCATCTATCACTACTCTCAAATATAAAGAGAAACACTTTCCCTATAGAGGAAATTTATCCAGGAAAGAGCATAGGAATATCCAATTAGTAATTTAAGTGTTAGGTTTAATTGTCATAGATCTATTCCATTCAACATTTAAAAAAAAAAAAAAAAAAAAACACAACTAAAAAATCAAACCCTGTTTTCCCTTCTAGTTTACAAGAGAATGAAAGAATATACCAGGAAGCAGATTCTTTCTATTCTCTATAAATTATTCTTTTACAATAATACTTACTATTTAAAGTCTTTAATGAGATTTTTGTGGATCTTCATGCAAAAATCCTCCACTGTGGTCTTGCAGTAAGGTAGTACCACAGGAGAGGTGTAGTCTGGGAGCTGTCCTTTAGGTTTGGTGTAGCTGTAACACAGATGGAACAGTCAGTCAATACTAAAACCTCCTCGTCATTTTCAACCCACCCATCATTAAATTGTCACTGTCATCCTAGCTGCTTGTACTGACTTCCACTGTTTCAGTGGTGACAACAGATATTCTGTAAATTGTTTGGTGTTCTTAAACTGAAAATGCATCTGGGTAGCCAATGGCTGCAGGAGGTTCTCCCTTGTAACTGTAAAGGTTTTTCACTAGTGAACTTCCTGTAGTTGCTTAAAAAAATGAAACAGGAACAGCTGATGGAAAAGAACATCTACAGTATTATGGTTCTGACTTGTGATTTTTTTTTTTTCTGTGAAAAACTCAACATATTTTAGGAAAAAAACTGACAAAGTCTATAGACCAGATACCTAGACATACTAAATCCCTTTTTACAGTATATTTTATATTGTCACAAGAAGGGAGATACAAGTTTAAAAGACTACAATTACTGTATTATGAGTATTAATAGATTCATTCGTAAATTCATCCAAAGAAATGCATTAGTATTATGAGATAAACCTGTAATAATTTATAGTAAAAAATATCTGAAAGGCTAGATGAAGAACTACATTCAATTCCATTAACAGAGCCGAATACATGTCACTCATAAAAGACTGAAGCAAGGGACCTCTGAAATTCAAGCTTTGCACTAAATTTGACCAGAAGTCCCTGTTTTCAGGAATTTTTTAAAACTCATTTTGGACTTGATTTCACAAGGTCCTCATTTAATTCCCCTACAAGAAGTTCAAAACATAGCACTTCTGACTCTTAGGAAACTCTGTCCATCACACAACAGACAAGAGGAGCACAATCTCCGATTTACAGTTTAAACATTCTTCAGTGACAAAGATGATATCATTTGAAAGCTACAGTTCTAAACTATATAAAAGAAATCATCATTCATCCCCTCTTGAGACATTCTACACAACTCCACAGAAGGCAGCAATTGGGACTCACATTCGTACTAGCTTCAAGTAGTCCCAAATTTTCTCCAGCAGATCATCAAAGTTCCAGCGATGATGAGCAGATATAGGTACACAGTGGGGTACTTTGTAAATAATGTCTAGTTCCTCAATGGAAATCTGGTCAATTTTATTTAGGACATAAATACATGGGATGTAAACCCTGCAAAAAGAAGAAAATACCATTACAGCAGCCTAGCAGCAGTACACTGCTACCTTCAAGCTTCATATTTCAAAAGGACAGTAAGGTACTAAACAGCATTTGTTAATACCACATTGCTCACTTAGCTTCTGTGGGAAGCAAACCTCAGAGACAATTCTTTTCTTTGTAACATAAACTGCAAGTATGCCAAACCCAGGGTCCCAATGGTACCTGTTCCCTTCAACAACGTCAATCAGGTCATCAGCAGTGGCATCGCTGCGCAGCGTGACATCAGCATTGTGAATTTTGTACTCTGCTAAGATGCTCTTCACTGTTTCAGTATCCAGCTCACTCTGAGGACACTGAAGGTAGACACAGCATTAAGGCACGGGAGAGTTTACAGTCAAATCAAGTGTTACAATGAATAATGCTATCACCTAGCAATTGCTGCATATAGGTTACTAAAAATAATACCTGCATTGTTAAGTTACTGTACTTGACAATGATTTTACCATAGTTAACCTCAGGAGAGGGGAAAAAAGATGTAAGTCATAACAGCCTTATTTGTATTAATGCCACTGATAGCTGCCATCAGACATTTCAGAAGTAATGTTTCCTGTCAATACAAACCTGCATATCTACTAGTTCAGTGCACAGACAACTACATGTTATTTGCCTAGAGATCCCAGAACAGAGTTCTGATGTTTAGTATCTCTGGCTATTTCTACATTTTTAAAGATTCAAGCATTACATGGAAAATGAGTAGTCCAGGTTGCGAGACCTGGAACTCTGAGCTCTCTTCTCCAGAAGAATGCTGTAGCTACTAAGCAAGAGGCAGTTTTTGCACACCCTCCTTAGGGCCTCAGAACTTGTAATTGTTGGAAAGTGACCAAGCCTCTGATTTAGGGGTGAGGAGGTTGTCAGACTCCTAGGACAGGTATGGATGGCCTCCAAGAAAACTAACCAACTACAGCACAGTACAGTATGTCAGCTTCCAAAGAAGTCATACCACACAATGGTCTCAGGCACACCATTACCTGCAAATCCCTCTTTCTTCAAGCAAATTTTTTTTTTAATTTTGGTTAAAGAAAACTTCCAACTTACTGTGGCTGTAAGGTTAATGCCTCCTTTATCCTTTTTTTTAAAGCCGATATTGGGGGGCTTACTATTCAGACGAATTCCAAATCCCTCCAGTTCATTCTCAATTATTTTCTTGTGACCAAGGGGTTTCAGCACATCCAGAACAATCAGAATGAGATTACAGGTTCGAGCAACTAAGAACAGCAAAAGAAAATCATTCCTCAAAAAAGTACGCTCACACAATCTGAGACAAAACAACCCAAAATATGGTTTAGTGGACTATGACAACATCCAATCCCTGAAGGCCAGTACACTGCTTATTTTTACATTTCAGTGCAAGACTGAAGTTTGTGATGCTGGCAAAGCATCACCAATAGACAGAGCCTCACATGTTATAAGAATCACAAAGACTGGAAGAATCTTCCTTTCGACATTTAGACCCCAGAATGATGACAATAAGCTAGGTAAAGAAATGAAGACAGGAGCCTTATTTAACATGGGATCACACCTGCCTTCAAAACTGGCAATACATTTTGACTGCAATGTCAACACAACAAATGCCTAAGGCCAGAACTGAAAACAGAACAAAATTAAAATGGCTACTGCTTCACATCAGGCAGATCAATTCCAGGATACAATTCAGCTTTTTAAAGACATCAGAAACAGGGATCCAACCCTTCATTCTCATAAGCTGTACTAACTGAACCAGGGATAGGATGCTGTCTCCAGCTCTAAGATACTCACCTGCAATGACTTGCCGTCCTCTGCCTTTACCATCCTTGGCACCTTCAATAATTCCTGGGAGATCAAGTAGCTATTTGTTCAGAGGAAGGAAAGGAACTCATGGTAAAAATATTTTTCTTCACGGAGAAAATAAATCCTACTTTTACCTTTCTCCTAAACCAGCTGACTGCGGCAAATCTGAATAGAATACGGCAAAATTGTTTCCCCTTTCATTCTTACATATTGTATTATCCCCACTGCCCTACTGGTACAATGGAACAGATCATCTCATAGAAAATATGAGAACTACCACAGGAACTCCCCAGAGCAAAGTGAAATGCAGGGTTAAAATCATACGTCATGGAAACATTTCCAATGTATTCTCAAGCACTTCTACATCTCACTTCTAACCTGCTAATGTCAGGCTAGACAATGAGCCATAACACCATTGCATCCATATATACAATCTTATTCTCACAGACACAAAAAGATCTCACCTGTATCTTTGCTCCTTTGTATCTAATGACTCCAGGCACAGTAGTTAGTGTAGTGAATTCATATGCTGCCACTTCAGAGTACACACCAGCAAGATTACTTAGAAGCGTAGACTTCCCCACTGATGGAAAACCCACAAACCCAATTCGGGCATCACCTGTCTTTGCAACATCAAAACCTGCAAATAAGGAGCAAAAAAAGCAAAAATATTCATTTAAAGATTGCCATTTTCTATCTTCTAAGGTTCTGGAGAGCAGTCCCATTATTACTTTTTTGCCTGAGTGAAAGCCAGGTAAGCTTCCCTGCAAGGAGGATGAGAGCACAAAACAGAGTTCACAATCTATATTGCCTTGCACCACTTTGTCTGTATAACACTCTATGGCATGTACCTGTCAAAGTGTGGACTGCAAGGCTTCCCAGTGAGCTACCCTTGACTTGAGTGTAGGTGGAGCATTCCGTTTAAGCACTGCAGCTTACACAATTCACGCCTCTGTACACATATACACATACATATTTCTATACAGGTGGCTGCTGCAAGATGCTTCTTCATGTAAAATTCCTAAGACTTCTGCAAATACAAGGTTATATTAGCCACAATGCAGAAGCCCTTTAATCTATGCTTCAACAAGGGCTCTACCCCAAAGGCCTGGAAAGGGCCACAAACCATGGCTAAGGCCCTGTCCTGGGAAGGACAAGAGGGAGAGAAGCTTGCTTCGATTTATTCAGCAGGCAGCCCGACACGATTTAAGCAGACAAGAGCCACCCCCGTTGGATGGATTTCCGTCACACACCCCGCACTTCAGCTGGCAGGAGCGGCCGCGGAGGGGGCCGGAAC